AACAGATATATACATACATATATATATGTAAGTATATGCATGTATATGAGTATATAAAATCCTTTCATATTTGATTAAAGAAGTCATTATAATGGAAATTTATCACCAATAATCCATACTCGTGGCTTTAGAACATTTCCGATGAGTCAGGCTGACTTACCTGATAAGCTAAAATTGGATTGATGGAGGTTTCTGATTGGTGGGGGCTGGTTTTTGGCAGGGGAGGATTTAGTTGAGGGTGCAGGAGTTGCATATTTTGGTGTAGCTGGGATTTCATACACAGGCCCATCATACATTCCTCTGGAGACTCCTTGCAGTCCTCCCACCTAGATCAAGAGAAGAATAAAAATCCAGACACTGGATGTTCTGATAATGCTCCCTAATGATACTCCTGCCTATATGCAGAGACCACTGAGCACAGAGCTATATTCTGCATTAGCTGAATTAAAACCACATCTATACTCTCATCAAAGCTGCAGTCTGCTTTATATATAAAGGAAATTATAACGTTTCGTCCCTCCATTTTTATATATATAAAAATTATAAGAGAGAGAGCCTCATTAGGCTTACTTCACAGTCAATGGGGAGAAATGGGATTCAAAAGAACAACAGGTCTGACCTAAGATGTTTATTTTAAGATCAGCTCTCTCCATTCAGAGGCTGGTCAGCAGGGTGGGTTCAGCTGCTGAATCCCACTTGGGTTGTTGCAAGACTGATACCCACTATACTGATTGCAGCAATTTCACTCCTACCTGCATTTCCTCTGCTCCTCCCCTTCAGATATCTCATTATCTTCATTAGAACTCATTGAAAAGTGGTGGCAATTTTTAAATTAAGATTTCAAAAGTTTCCACTTCTTGTCATCAACTAGAAAAGCAATTATATGCTAGACTGTGGCATGGGACCCATCTTTCATTATTTGTCAATAGAGTATCTGTCATTTGAGCTCTGATTTCAGTTTGCGGTCTCCAGTTTTTATCCCTGTACAGTTCCTATAAGGAATATGAGAAAAGACAATCAAAACAGCCTCATTGGCCTTAAAATCACAGGAATCTAGGAAATAATATTTTTAAAAAACAGTTCCAATTTTCAGGAAGAGCCTGAAGCCACTAAATCGCAGAATCCAAAGCTCATCAAGGTCAGAAATCTGTGGCTTACAAGATTATTGTTTCAGAGCCATTTCCCCAACAGGTTAACAGTGAAATTAAAATACCGTATAGGAAGGACACTATTCACAGGGCTTTGATCCAGCTCTTACAGAAATCAATGCATTTTCCTTGCTTTTGGTTACGGGGACATCAGGCTCAGAAAAGCCACCATCTTGCAGGCTGAGCCAAAACCAATGCCCAGAAGAGAGCAGCTCTCGATCGCAGCAATGAATCCATCTTCCAGGGACCCACAAAGGCAGGAATTTATACTGCTATCCTTGCTCCAGGGGTAAATTTATACTGCTATCCTGTGCCAGTTACAGCTTTGCAGCCCCTTGTTTGACATGTTTTTTCTATACTCCTTTGTCGTGCACTGACATATTCATATGGTGGCTGACATGACCATCATTGGGTTTTTCTAAATATTTCCGATCAATAAAATTCAATAGTGGGAAAAGAAACACAGACATGAATCTGCTGTCCCTTCCTCTCAGCAGGCAGCAGAGGGAGCTGCAAGAGCAAAAATATCAGTCCCTTTCTTCATCCTTTTGCAGATCTTTCCTAAGTATCTAAAAATCAAAGGTCTTTCCTGAAATCCAGGCCCGCTTGCAAGACGCAGGTTACTTAGCGCAGTTACTTTTGTGCAAACTCCTGGTATAAGACACCACTCTCTGATACTTGTTTTTAAAGCGTTGTTTTCAGTATGTAAATGACATCGTCACTAATTTATATAGCACTCCCACATGCTAAACCCTTGAGAGGCGAGCGTGAAGAGAAGGCCCATGTCATCTAAGTGGAGAATGTAAAAAAAGTGCAATACTGATTGGTATTTTGCAAAACTTTTGCAGGTGCATTTGATTTTTACAGTGCCTTTTCTCGTTAGAAGTGCAGACCTTTTGCATCCCACAGCTTGACAGAATTTGTATAACAAATGATGTTATACAAGATAAAACACTATCAACCTGCTCGTAGTCTTAATTTCAGTTGCCATCCTCACAGGCTATGATATACGCTTGGTTGAAGAAAATATGAGTTTTAGTCCATTTGTCTTGTTACCTGTTCTCACACAGTGACTTTCTTGCTCAGTGGCAAGAAGCAATTTCCAAATAACCCCGAACGAACTAGTGCTAAGCCAATTGGTTTTCAACAGGGGAGCAGTGATACAATTCAAAACCAGAAGCGACCCAGCCTTAATCTTGGTCATTTCCCAAGCTTTTTATTAAACACAAGAGAAAAGTTTTCTGAGCTGTGAATGCTGCTAATACTCAGCTCAGCAAATATACCAACAACAATTCAGAGATGCCAAATATAATGAAGTATCTCTGGCTTACATACTTTTCTTCTCTGTGGTGTGGCAGTTCAGTATGCAAAGCTCAGTAACAATTTAAAATTCTGTTTTTCTTCCAGCTAACCCTCCTCCCAAAGAAGCTTTATCTTTTTCCTGAATTTTAACTAAAAGTAAATTCTATCACTATTCCACCTCCCTGCAAAAGCCTGCACAGCTGGACAGAAGGCGATTATGCCCAGCTGGCAATTATATGCTCTACCCACTGAAGTTCACAGTGTTAATTAAGTTACATCAGTTCACACTTGCAGAGGAACCAGTTTTGTGGTCGTTTTTTAAACAAGTCATATATAGTCCATCTGATACGGACTCCCATTAGCACAATAATAATAAAAACCATGTGCTACTGTGGTTCCAAGAGGGTATGGCTAGAAAGAAGATTAAATAATATCTGACATTACCTTATTCCTTATTTTGATGCGCTGGTAAAGATATTCAGGGAAAGGTTTGCGAGGGATGAAGCGGCCCATTCCCTTATTTACGTGCAGATTTCCGTCTTCAAACACAATCTTCCCTTGGCTTATGACCACAAGCGGGGCACCGTGGCACTCCATTCCTTCAAAGATGTTGTACTCCACAGCCTGGGGATCAACCAACATATTGACTGCAAGTTTGGTACAAGATCTCTTTCAGTTCGTAACTTATAATCTGTATTTGTAGTCATATTTTTAGACAACTGCCATTAGGACACGTATAAAATTGTTTTGTCTGAAGGAAAAGCAATGCCTTACGATATGAAATGATTTAAAACAATCTCTCTGATCAGACTTTCCTGGATCAGACTTTTCCTTTCCATTGCCCACTTTCCGTCAGGGCTTTATCTCATTTGTTTTTGAGGACTTTCCATATTTATCCAAAGTCTCTAGAAGTGCGATAGCCTTAATAAGAAGGAAAACTGTGACTCAGCTGCCAGATACCCAGAGGACATGGTCCCACCATGCATGTGCTGTGACTGTATAAGGGAACTTCAAAGGCGCCAGTACACATATTTCTGTCTGGAAAAGGCCAGAAAGAACCAGGAGAGCCTGAATCTAAATGGGAATGACTGTCAAAGGGCAGGTGTTTATTGCTTTCTTGAAAATACAGAGAGATCCCAAGACAGAGAAATAAAAACTGAATCGCCTAAACTTACTTTTTAAAGGTTTCTAAAGGTTTATTCCTTTTTAATATAAGCCATATTACTGGATTTCCAGTAAAACGTTTGGAAGAATTCCTCAATGTAAAAGACCAAAGCACCGAACAGTAAGATAACAACTTTGAAATACACAATACGTAAGATAAAAGCTGTCACACTCAAAATCAAAGCAACTGTGAGTCACCGGTACTCCGCACTAAGGGCAGAGAAGTATGCGGCAAAGCTTTGGAATGAAATAGAAAATCCCAGCCGTGAAGCTGCTCAGAGCTGTATTATCAAAATATTTAATCATCTGTCATAATTTAGAATACTGTTGATTTAATCGTGCAATTTATAATATCAGGTGCTTTTCAGGTAAGCAGAAAAGTGAGCTAGTTTTAAATTTATCATCACAGCTTTACTAACCTCAGCTGCAGACCTGCCGATTCACACCTATTTACAGACCTGCCACAAGCATGCAAAAAATAATAGTGCAATGGTATATGCAGAGAGAAAAGAAATACTTCCTGCTCCCAGTGCTTCCAATGCAAAATTTCAATACTTTCATCTTCTGAGACATTTACCCATTTCAGAATAGGAGTAGGCAGTTACCCCACTCCTTTATATCCCATATATTTGGTGTTCACAAGAATTACATCAACATTTGAAAAGCAACAGTGACATTTCTTTTTTCTTGCTGGTTTTCCTTTTCTCCTTACCGATTTATGGCTTTTAGCTGTTATGGTCTTCACCTTATCAGGGTCCCAAATAATCACATCGGCATCTGATCCTACAGCAATCCGTCCTTTTCTTGGATACAGATTAAAGATTTTGGCAGCATTGGTACTGGTGACAGCTACAAACTGGCTCTCGTCCATCTTACCTGTGGCCTAAAAACAACGTGATTTGAGCAAAATATGCTTATAAAATGGGAATTTACTATGTAGAGTGCTGAACGACCAGGGAGATACGGGGAGGCATGTGGTTCATATATATGGTGATGTTGCATGAAACACAGGTTTTATCAAGCAGGACTTTATACAAGGCACATTACTTGGGAGTTTCAAATAAGTGAATGTGTTATTCCTGGCATCCCAAAGAGCAGCCAATAAAACCTTAATGCAGATGATCAGGTTGCTCAGTTATCTAAGATCCCTTTCTCTACACACTGATGCCTAAGTGTGTTTTGTTGCTAGCCCTAGTAATTTCCATTTAAATGTTTCAACGATTTTAAAACAGAGAAACTTACATGAGTATTATGAGAAAAGATCAAGATTCAGACTCTTTTAGAAACATTTCTTGCAAATTACGTCCATTCTACTATTAGTATTACCAAACCTATACATCTAAGTAATAGAACCCCAATTATAAAGTCCTTGCCTGGAGAAATGTCACCACCAATTGAACTTTTTCTACAGTCAGTGATGGCTTAATAGCAGCTGTACACAACAGCATTTTGATTTCTCAGTAGAGTATTTTGGGGTCTTCCCTGGCAATAAGCAAGAACAACGTTCCAAGGAAGAACAACAGTGCCAAACTTTTTAATATTAAATAAACACTTGTTTCCTGCCTGGTAAAACATGAGATCTGCAAAATACAAGCTACTCAGTGGTGCAGGACTGAATGTTACCACCCGTAAATCCCATGTTGCAGCCCTTGCTGCAGCTCCTTCCCTTTGTGGGAATAACGAAAGGGAAATATCACTGGCTGGCTGCACTTTGCCTGCTTCCCCGCTTTGCTCCTACATGGCAGATACCTGAAGCTGCTTCTGTGCTTGGAATCTCGATCGCGGTCCCTGAAGAAAGTGGTTATTAAACACAGTCTGGGAGAAGTGCTCATGAGAGCATTGTAAATACTACCACTTCCCGGTTTGCAATATGCATTCGAGCGCAATGCAATATAAGGTAATTGTGTGTGTGTGTGTGTGTGTGTGAGTGTGTGTGTGTGTGGGTGTGTATGGACACACGGACAATGGAGGGAGAATATCATTATATATTAGGATCCATGGAACCATCAAAAAATTGCTAACTTATACCAGCATCCCACCACAAAATATGCCAGTATGAATTACATGCAATGTTCTCCTTCAAAGCATTTTATCGTCTAGCCGCAGGCTCGGCTGCCATCCATTTGTAATTTCTCAAAAACGATGAGACACTTCCCAAATTCAAACAATCCATTCATCACATTTACATAGGGTCCGCTTCAAAATCATTAAATTGCTCCAGATCCTGCATCTCTGAGAAGCAGCCACTCTGGCACAACTGGAAAATTGAGCAGTGGAGTCTGTGAAGCCTCAGGTCTAATAAAAAATGATAGTGTTGCAGTGTCAAAAGTGAAACACAGCCCTGAGTTTATAAAACTGGAGAAGGTTTTTGAAATAAACAATTCACCTCGTAGTAGTGCTCTCTCAGGGAATTCGCAGAAATATATTAGAAAGTCACTTAAGTACTGGCCAAGAGTCTCCTGGCTTTCATTATTCAGCCAACACTCAATTTCTTTTTAGTTCATGAAAGTAAGTAATTACTTACTACAGCCTTGTCCCAGACAACAGTCATTCTTTCCTCAATTCCATTGACCCCTTCAGGAATCATAGTGAAGTTGTCCTTTCCAATGGCTTTCTGGGCAGTGCTATACGGGCAGTGTCCACTTCCCGTCACCTGCAGGTCCCCACTGTGGAGTTAACACACAGAAGGTTTAGACCAGGCATCACCAAGGTTACCTTGGTCTTAGACTAGCTGTGAATGGACCTTTCAAGCCCACACACCAGAGGCATAGGCTGTAAATCATGTCAGCAGCCTTTACATGTTGGCTACAGATCACTGAAGAGCGACAATGGCATTGGACAATCTCCACTTTCCCCCAGGAGCACCCTGAACTCCCAGATCACAACCCTCTCGGGTTTCAGGGTGCTTATCGACAGAGATCAGGCACAAGCCCACTAACCAGGACAAAGGATTACTCTAGGATTAAGGAAATGATCAGAAGCTTGTATGAAATGTCTGCCACTCTGAAGATAAATTAATTCGCAACCATGTTGAAAAATAATGGCAAATTTTACAATGCAAGTCATGAGCATCAAGTTTGTTTCCCTGCATTTCTCCCCTGCACATATTTTTCTTGCAATTCTTACACAAATATTTCTTGTCTGACCTTCCAAAGCAGAACATGAAAATAAAAAAGGAAGGAAAGTTTTTTATCAGGTAGTCTTCTAATGAAACAAAGGAAGGCATAGTGCAAGTCAAATATGTGCTCTGGATTTATCTAACTTAAAGGTCTTACACAGAAAAAAGCATGGAGTAAAACACAAAAAGAGCTACCAAATAATAATGCTGTCATTTAAGAAGTTGTTTCTTTAGCCTAGAGAAAATCTTTTTGCAGAGAGCAGAACTGGATCACTGCTGCTCTCGGGAATAAGGAGGAAGAACATAACCAATATGCAGAATCTTGCAAAAACAGAAAGACAAAAAAGAAGATAGGTTCTTCAATATCCACAGGAAACAGGTGATATTTTTAGGTCTTGATTAAGCTTACAGGAGTCAAGCACATTAAAACACACTACGATTTCTCTTCTATCACTCCAGAAGGACGATGTCCCCAAGAACCTGCCATCCTTTTCTTCAACTCATTATGTAAGTTCCAGCTCTGAAACACCTGAATGATTCTGGTCCACAAATTTAGATTCCAGCAAGCTAACAAATAGCCATGTACAGAGGAAAGAAGTGTCACACATCAGTAATTCTAATGTAATTTTCTGGGCTGCCAGCCCTAATGATTGCTGACAGTCAGAGAAGAACCTTTGGCCTCTTTTCTGGTTCTTCACCATGCTCACATCTGTCCATGCATTTTTTAGCAGAAGCCAAACCCATGTATTTCATAGTGAAAAGGCAGCTATGTTTTAGCTGTTCCTGATTATTAATGACTGCCTGGTGTTACTCCATAGGATTAAACCAAATCTATCAGTTAAACATTCATTTATTCTAACACAACAATAAAGTCAGAAGATTGCAATGCCATTTCTTCCTTTTTGTTGCTCTTCTGTCAGCTAAGCTTCTTGTGGCTTACCCTCTCTCTCTTTTCTGCACTCTGATGAATACAACCATGAAAACATGAATGTCACAGCCAGGCCCTGTATCACTGCCCATTTCCTTGAGGTTATGTTGTGCTGCTTACACCATGCTATTAATTCCTACACCTGAAATATGAAAAGGAGTTGCTTCCTCTGAACTCTGTTTTCCCTCTCCTCTGACATTTAATGACATTTAATGACATGCACTGCACTCCCCTGTCCAGTCAACAGAAGACTTCTGCAGCTGACGCATGCAGCTCAAGAGCCACCCAACACCTCCTGGTTAACCACACGGGCACTCCTACTGTCTAGATATATTCCACTGCCAAATTGGAGATGAGCATCAGATCAGCTGAAAAAATGACAGACAAGAAGGGATTACCATGGAAAACATCTCCAAAAGAGGGAGTGGTGGGAATTAACAGTGGACATATGTGTATCTTTAAATGCCACATCAATACCTTGTCGTCTTATTCTTCACCATAAACAAGGCTTTTCACAGCAGATTACATCTTCCATGAAGCACCAAGATCTCACATCTCTAGTTCAGAAGAGATGGCATACCACAGTGTCAATAACACAGCAGTGCACCATGGAAGATGAAAGCTACCTCAGATGCATGGCCCATAGATGAAACAAGGACCAAATCTCATGAGGCAAATCCAATCTGTAAACCCCACGAGACGTGCTGGATTTTTACACATTCAACTTTTCAAAGTGAAAAATCAACACTTTCTGTGGAAAACAGCACAAGCAGTATGCTGCGTACTTGCAGAGGAAGAATGTTGTAAGGATTTTTTAATCAATGTAAAATATTGGTCTCCTGATGAACAGTGTAATAGAAAAGTGAGATACTGTCTTTACCATCATCCTTTCATAAAATTCCCCACAAATGCATGGCAGACTGATAAAATATACAGTTCTCTTTTTAGTTTCACAGTATAGATTTAAAGTATTAAAACTGAAAGCAGGCTAAGCCGCTGTCATTTAAGATCTAGGACTTTAAGCCACAAGAAAAAAAAAAGTCATTTTTGCATGCTTGGAGGATAACGAAAACTTCTGTGACTCCTCAGTTTGTCTTTCTGATGTTAGTGTTAAAAAAAGTCATTATTTGGATTCCAGTTCTAAAAATTCTGTTGCTATTTTAGCTAATCTGTTTTGACCCACATACTATTATTTTGGGACTCTCTTCTAGAAAACATATAGCCACACATTCACATGTGCTGGCTAAGAGCCTTACCCTCACACAATGAGCTTCACTCTTTATAGTGCTGATAGTGCCCGATCAGACCAGAAAAGTCATTTGTCTTTCTTGTTTTAAGGAACAGAAAGCTCAATTATGGAAAATCATTTCTGCCACCAGACCATCACAACGGAACAAACTCCTGCGTATTCTTACCAGAAACGCATGTAACTCAGAGCTCAACTGTGCATTCATGGATAGTGCTGTGAATGCAGCATCGTTAAGGCAGCTGAGTTAAAACCCGGGTTTGGGGGACTGCACTGCCTGACCCGCCGTGTACAAGGAGAGATGTGCGCACTGCAGCAGTGGCACTGATTGATGGCAACTTCCCTTCACACATATGTCCCCATCCACCTAAAGGGCAGCTCTGCCCAAGCCTGAATTACACATGCAGGGGCCTTGTATTACCAACCACGCTGGCACTGCCTGCCATACAGCCTGCCAGTTAGTCATGTGGAAAACTAACCTCAGGGGGAAATGTTTTCTGAAGAGCAATGGGTCACTTTTAGGGTTCAAATTCTATTGCTCTGTCTAGAGCATTGGAAACCCTAGAAAGGGTAGGCAGCAGGTGAGATGAGTGTCACCACATGGCGTTAAATAAGGTTTTGAATGGTAAGCTGAGTTCCTCACTCCAGCACTAGCAATCTGTCCTGGTGGGACTTCAGCTGTGAATTTCCCTATCATTTCAAAGCAGATGATCTTTTGCTTAAGCTAAAGAAGACCCACAGTTGGATACAGGCAGGAAATACTTTCAGGGATAAGTTTACGGTCTGGGTTGCTGGCAAGGCACTGCTGATGTCTTCTTTTCTATATGAGAAAGACGCTTCTCCCTCTGCTGTCCACATTCCTTTCATCTCTCTAGAGAGCCGGCCCATACCCCTATCCTGTCAAGTGATGGCCTCCAGTCACCAGCCTGTCTCCACCTGAGTCCCTGGCAGTCTCCTTTGTAATCCACTCTGGCCTCTTTCTCCTGCCCGACATACCTTCTCTATATGTACCACTTATCTTTGCTGACTTACAGCTTGAGGACCCTGGAACTTATGAAGACACAAGGCAAGCTAAAAGTAAAAACATGGCTGCAAGAACTAAACACAAATAAACTTCTATGATTTTGGTCCATCCCAGATGAAGGCAAACTACCAAGTCAGAAGTTTGCAATACACAGGGGTTAAAACCACTGAACTCTGCTACAAACACTTACAATTTAGTTCAGGACAGCCTAATTCTCAAAAGTGCTCACAGCTTACAGCCCTGCACCAGCTTTGGCAAAAATTGCACCAGGAAAGTTTTCTCGGTTCCAGGTATCTCTGCATTCAGGGACAATGCTGATTTCAGGAGCTGTGCTTGCCAGATATGACCAGGGGCTTAAAACTGAGTCTATTCTCACAGATGGGGATCTATCCAGCAGGCTGTTGCTTATGCTGGACGGTGAGGATGCCATCCAATCATATATTAACAATTTGGCTGGAGAAAACAGAGAACTAGGGAGAAAACCCGTTTGAAGTCCTGGGCTAAAGACTACCTAGCTGTACAACTAGGAATCACTTGAAAAGCAGAAGGAAAAAGAATTAATTCCTGAATAACCAGCAGTTACTTCTCTAACAGGCTAACCAGGAGCTGGAGAGTCCATGCCTGCTCACCTGACTGACAGCCTAAACACAGGGATATAACCACCCCTGGTTTTCTATGGGCCCTTCTCTGCTGTTTTCGTGTATGAGACTGGTCTAAAGGAAACTGAGCTGATCCCTAGATGCTCCATCCCATGTGGTTTTTGCACTTGCCTGACCATCAGCCTGTAAAAAAAATGAAGGTCTTACCAAGCTAAGAGCGAATTTAAGTGATCTGGAGTGGTAGGATCAGGGCTCAGAGGTGGCGAGGTCACAAAAGCTGCAGCCTTGGCCCAGTTTTTGCTCCAGTAATGTGTCCCATCTGTCCCCAAGCTGGCAGTGATCGGCTCTCCAAAAACAAGGGGACCTTGGGGAAAGCAAAGATATACAGGAACTGATTACAATCCACTCTCTCTTCAGCACATTGTACTGCTTGCTGCATGCAGCCATGTATAATTTACGCATTGTTACATGGCCAGTGTAGCTCCCAGAAAATTAAGCAGCCCTGGCTTTGTCTGTATGATAAAAAATTAATCAGGAGGCTTTCTGAGCTACACATGCTTTTGATCAGCATATTTACAAAGCTCCCTTTCTAATCCAGAAGGAGACAATTCAGATCTGGTTTTAATTTGTACTGTTTTAATCACAGCCATGTTCTCTACGTTGCTCTGCTTTGGAGTGCATTTAGGTGGAGGATGGGCTCCAGCAGACAGATGCCTTTTTACTACTCCCAGGTTGGGCACAGCACCAGCAGATACAGCACATGGTCCCCAGCACCATACTCCAGGTCTCCAAGGATACAGATATCAAGACGATATTTTGCTCTTTGGCTTTTCCATATTGCTCACACGCTTTGTAGCATCAACCAGCAGAACAATCCTGACTTGCAAATGCAGCTTTGAAAGTGGCTACCGCCAGGCTCACAAGTCCCTTTTGGGTGCTTTGTAACCTGGATCCCTCCACGGCCCCAGCAAGCAGTGTCAACCCGCAGACGTCCCCAGTGCACATCTGACAGGGTCAGCCTCCAGCAGCGAGCCCAGGAGCCATCACCAGGCATCTCTAACAGCAGGCTCACCACCCAAGCCACCCCTCAGAGGGTAATATCCTGAAATACCCCCAAAAGGCACAGATGATGTGCTGGACCCTGTTAGGAAGAAAATATCTCCCTCCCCTGAACAGAGATCCAGCAGTCTAAGGGAAAGGTAAAAGGGAAGACAGGATAAAGAAGAGTTACAATACAATCTTCAAGGGGACAATTTGTGGGGAGAGTTTCTCAACCGAAAAATGTAGAAGGATTTCCCTTCATCTTTCCCAGCCATAAATATTTAGGGTCTGTGATGGCGTTACCATTCTTTGGTAACTGCTCCCTAGATCTTGTGATTTGGGTCAAGATGTACAGGTTTTTCCACTGAGCTTCTATTCAACAAAAAAACGAGTTTGTGGGAGAAAAGGAAGTCTCTTACCTTTCTTTCTGGCCAGTGCAATGATATCAGCCGCACTCTTGCTCATCACCTTGGTGACGTACACTGGGCAGTTAATTCGACTGGCAATGGTGATGGCACGGAAAACTGCTTCTGCTTCAAGCTGAGGAAAACAAGGAGGAAAAAGTTAACTGCAAAAGCAGACTGAAGAAAAAATGAACTGGAGGACTGAGCCATATTTCTCATTGTTTAGCAACAACTCTTCAGGGGTTCATTCTGCTTTTTCCACAGAGAAAGACACAGTGCTGGGAAACAGGGAGCTAACCCAACCTCAGTCACTTCGCGTTAGGAGTAACCACAGCCAGGCTGTACTCGCTAACGGGGGGTACAGCTGCCCCAGCACAAATACAGCTCCCTGGCTCCCTGCACCCCAGGAAAGGTCACGTCCAAGCAGCTCATGGGTCTCCTCCTTACCTCCCTCCCACCTTTCTGCTTCAGACTTCTACCCTGCAGTTGGAAGGAGAACAAAGCAAAGAAACATTGCCCTAGCTCGGAGACAACCTCCGAGCTTTCCCTGGCAGCTTACCTTATGCAATCTTTACATAAGGATAAGATAACAGTGAATGTAAAGTATTCTCAAACAGCAGCTTCAGCACTATGGACTGAATTTAGCCCATAATCCATAAAAGCCTTTGAAGCATCGCCCAGTATGTCCCCTCTGTCAGCAAGCGTAAGGGCAATCTCCTCCCAGGGAGCCATCTGGGACGTAGGCACACAAAACAGTCATCTTCAGACAGAGGAGCAGTGTTTCCCAGGGGCTCTGGAGACTCCTTTTCCCACTCATCAGTTTTATACCTCCTTCCCAGATGGACTCACAGTATTGGCATTTAATACCTAAAACTCCTAAAAGCCCATTTCAGTGACTGAAAATACTGACTCGTTGGTACAGAAATTTCTCTCCAAGAGTTGTGCTAGAAAAGTTGAGCAATTTAGCCTTCCAAAACCACATGGCTTAATTCTTCACAGTTTTGTAAAATGTTTTTTCTTAAATCGGACTGTCGCTTCAGGTTTTCCTAGGACTTTAATCACAACATTTGCTCTGGAAGCCCCAAATGCACCTGCAGAAGACCAGGGAAGGAGGCAGGACCTCTGTACCTCAGTGCTGGGGCTGAGATGGTCAAACGCACAGTCAGAAAGACACAATATTCCTTTCTGGAAACTGCAAATGCAGATTTTCCTTAGGCCCTTGTTCTCATTAAAAGGAAATGACTCCATTCTTTTAGAATAATTTAGGTGGAAGTTAAACAGCAAAATGAAAAAGTACATAAACAGTTCAATAGAAGAATGTGACTGATTAAGCCGATTCCTTTGCCTTGGGGAGAGGTTATACAAAGATCTGCAAACCACAACAATCTCTTCAAGTTTAGCCTCAAATCCCCAGGGCCTTGTCTCTTTAGTCTTCAAGGAAAGCAGTCACCTCCCACTACCGCCCTCCATCATCCCATTAACGGTCTGAACTGTGTACATTAAGGGACATCCACATGTCTCCACCTTTTCCTTATCTTTAAAGAAACCCTTTCCATATGCCTGAGACGATCCTTGCCAGAGCGTGGCTTTTATTAGAAGAGAGTTGCATAAACTGAGCTGCCTGGCAGCATCTTTCCATTCTCACATATTTGCATTTCTACAGCCTGCATTTCTACTACAAATGTATCTGCCGGCATAAACGTACATTTATATGTGGGTGTATGCACATGCATGGTATACACATATATATATGCATGTATATACATACACATGCATCTTAAAGGAGGTTTTCAGCCAAAGCATTTTAATGAATGCAGTTACTCCAAAGCCTAACCCACAAGCTGCACTGCTGATCTTTACCCTGATAAGCCCATTTTTTTTGTCGTCATGAATCAAATCATAAGGGTCACACTCAAAAATACATGCACACCCGTGCCCGGGGCAGCAGGGGCTGCGACTCCTGAGTGTACAAGGACTGAGGGAACGTACCTGCTGCAGCAGCAAAAGAGTATTTCAGGCTAACAAACAGGCTGAAGGGGACCTGGACTTTTCAAGGCTTTGAATAACACTGGAAGAGGCTGTGGGAGAAGCAGACTGTTGCCTTTCCCCACGCATCCATCTATCATCTGCACATACAGAAGCCAAGCTCCGATACCACATGCTCAACAACATATTTCCATGAATGACAAAATGAGTGAAGTCTCTTTTACCTCCTCGGGCCTGCTCAGGGCATGTCCCTCGGGGCCGGTGATTCCCATCTCCAGGATACGCTTTTGTTCCTACAACACAAGAGGTAAATGCTGACAACTGCTCCAGGATGAGACCCTTGCACCAGGCATCCTCTAGCGGATTAACAGCCATATTGTCTGACTGCCCTTTTTTTGTCTGTGTAAATGCAGCTGCGTAAGCCTGCTGCCAGGGGAGGAGGACTGAAAACACTGGCTATAAACCGGTCCCATGCCACGCCGGCATCTGCTCTGCTCAGCCAGCGCAGATTTCAGGGGAAGATTTGTCACTGCAGTGCGATAGAGCATATTTGTGCCTCAAGCCATTGGGCTGCACCATCGGAAATCTCCTCTGCTCTCCAGACACCAACCCAGGGAACAGGTTTCAATCAATATACTAAATAGTAATTATGGATATTTCCAGCCCGCGATTCTTTCTTCACTCGCACAAGTTCCTCTCTGGCTGCAATCCATGAAACACTGTTATCTTTGTTAAACTTTCATCATTGCTGACACTTCATCAAATAAAGTCTTGCCTTTGGCATCCAGTTTTCCTTAACACTTTTTTCCTACAGAGTGAATCACTAAAATTATGTTTTCACGAAAGCAAAACAGTGCCCTCCAGTTGTGAGGGGACTGTGTCCACACCAAAAAGCCCATCTTAGGACCAATGGGGGTTTGTCAGAAAAAAATCTGTGCCTATCAAGCTTCACAGCAGTGAGATAATTTTTTTAAAAAAGACGAAAAGCTTCACCTATCTTTTAATTTAAGGTCAAGCAGTGGTATTGGAATAAATTTCCCTTTTTGTAGAAAATGGTGGTTAACCACTTCTGATCCAAGGTTGATCCAGGTCTGCCAGCAGAGCAGAAGTGGGACCAGAGCTGTTGACGTACCTCCGACCCTGACCTGCCCTGCTCACAGGTCTTAATGAGCCAAGTTCAACACATGTAATGACTCTGTGATACAGACAAATGTCCCCTAGAGACCAGGATGAAGTTACCAAACATACTTTACTGTGTCATCTAATAAATATTTGATCCCAGGTCCCCGAGGGTGAAAAGTGCACACATTACCAATATACTGCGGCAAAACCTGAGCAAGTTAATATTCACATATACTTTTGCCTTTGCTGCAGTCAATCAAGGCTGAAGAGGCATTAATAGGAATGTATTAATCTGACTCTGTAATTGAGATTATTTTGGTTAGAAAATCATAATGTTTCATAGGTATTCTTAAAAATAGCTGTTCTAAATCATTAATGCAACAGCTCTGAACAGTGCCAGTTAAAGATTTCAGATAATTAAAATACAACAGAAAATAAAGTTGCAACCATATAACACAAAAAATAGCAAGATGGCAAAGAACGGAACACAAAGGATAGGTTTGCATCTTGAAGGAAGTCATAAAATCAGATCATATGATAAAATTACCCACTGTAAGAGGATTCAATAGTGCTAATAAGATAGAATATTTGTTTGATAAGATCACGTTTGGATTTTCACACAGAATAGTCCTGCAAAACCTCCCTGCAGGCAGCTTTCTTTTCACTATCCAAATAATCCTTCTAAATAAAAGCATAAGGAAAGACTGATTTTATGAGACATGGCAATGGCAAAGAAATATGTTGATGTATAACATAATTTACATTTCTTTACTACTTCCTCTTTTCTTAATAATTTTTCTGTCCTGTATGTTCATATTCCACAGCTGTATATTAAAGCTGATCAAAGAAAAATGTAACTGAAATAGATTTGTATCAGAAATGCAATTCCACGAGTGCACCTTGATTTTAATGGGGAACATATCAAAACATCATGGGTGGCATTAGATTTGTTTCATTTTGCCATTCCTACAGTAATATTGACTTATTATGTTTCTTCTTCTTAATTTTTGTTCTACTGGATATTTTATATTGTATTAAAACTATAAATTATATATTTTGGTAGTGTTAAATCATGCTAATCTTCATGGGGAATCAACTTTTTTTTCCTCTTGAATCCAAATGAGGGTTTTCACCTGGTTTCAGCGGGGCAAAGACACAACTGCACTGTATGTGCCTGTTGACTCCTCACTATTAACTTTTGAGCCAAGTGGTTATTTTGGCCAAACTTGAAGGGAAAAGGGAAAGAAGGCTCTCAAAGGTGGTAAATTCCTACCAGGCAGATTAAGGACAGAATCCCACTGAAGGAAAAACAACACAATAAACCCATGTGGGCAAGAGCCCTTACGCACTGCCCAACCACTCAAACGTTCACTTGAGGTTCTCCCTTAACCGTGAGACAAGGTGGCTTCCCTAGTCCAGATCTCAAAGACAACTCGTTTTTAGCTGTTTTAATTTCCCTGTCAGCTCTGCAGCCTAGTCCTTAGCGGATAAACCAGCAGCTAAAGAGCTCAGCAGATAAATCAGTCAGCTCACTCAGAGCCTCATGGACCTCAGAAGGGCTCTATGCACGTACACAGGATCAGAAGAGTAATACATCTCTGTAACAGCCTGTCCTGGTTTCGGCAGGGGTAGAGTTAATTTCCTTCCTAGTAGCTGGTACAGTGCTGTGTTTTGGATTTAGGATGGGAACAATGTTGATAACACACCGATGTTTTAGTTGTTGCTAAGTAGCGCTTACACTAGTCAAGGACTTTTCAGCTTCCCATGCTCTACCGACTGAGAAGGCTGGAGGTGCACGGGGGGCTAGGAGGGGGACACAGCCAGGACAGCTGACCCAAACTGGCCAAAGGGATATTCCATACCATGTGACGTCATGCTCAGCATATAAAGCTGGGGGAAGAAGGAGGGAGGGGGGGACGTTTGGAGTGATGGCGTTTGTCTTCCCAAGTAACCGTTATGCGTGATGGAGCCCTGCTTTCCTGGAGATGGATGAACACCTGCCTGCCGATGGGAAGCAGTGAATGAATTCCTTGTTTTGCTTTGCTTGCGTGCGCGGCTTTTGCTTTACCTATTAAAGTGCCTTTATCTCAACCCACGAGTTTTCTCACTTTTCCCCTTCCACTTCTCTCCCCCATCCCACTGCGGGGGAGTGAGCGAGCGGCTGTGTGGTGCTTAGTTGCCAGCTGAGGTTAAACCACGACACAGCCTTAAAAGATTAATCTGCCATAGATGTATAGAGTCATAACAATACCAACCCAAACCCAACCATTCTGCTTTATAGAAAGACCAGCAGGAGGTTTACTATCAACTGCTGTCCTTGGGATACCTCTGTTGCACAGGTCAGAGCTACGGCACACTCCAGTGTGAGGACAGTACCTACACAGGGGACCTGACCTGCAAAGAGTGCACTGGGGATCCAGGACATTTTAATGGAACATACTGAATTTGAGCCCAGTTTCCTGGTTCTGACAGGCATCTTCAAAGAGCATGACTTACACTTTAACACACATTTTTTAAATGTTTAGAAGATCACGGTGGTCTCTTATTCTCAAACTTCAGAGATCTCTGAAGCAAGGCTTTACGTTGTTCTGCTTCACTTGTCTCTGCCAGATTCAGAAGAGATCTTCTTGCTTCCTTCTGCCCCCCTCATCCGGTCTTCATCTGCTGCCAAGGCAAGGAGCTGTCTGGATCGCTGCTCTATCTCACAGATGCTCTGCCAAAGCAGGCAGAAGGGCCTCCATCCTCTCATCCCAGGGGTTACACCAGTGGTGTGTAGGGCATCAGGCCCAATTAAGGCACTTACCAGGTAGTTCCTTTTTTCCTACCCATACTCTGACTGGAGGGTTTTACTTCTCTCTTGTGTCTATCTTCTCACAAAGTGAAGCAAAAATGACAGTTCACTCACCTGAGCTATCAAGTCTCCATTTTCAGCATGAACCAGGATAACAGCCCCAAGACTTTTTAGAAAGGTAAAGGCTTCATAAAGCTGCAGGTAGTACAAAGAAGGAAACACTGCTGAATAAGGAAAACACATTACTTAACACTCATACCTCTCTGTTCATCTCAGTTTTGCTCCTTCTATGCTGGTAATTATCTAGGCGAATAGCAAATTATCTCTCTTTTCCACTCCTGGCTTTCTACATAGAGTCAGAGCTTCACTGCTTGGTGTTGACTGACCCACCCCTTACACACCAGCCAGCCCCAGGAGAAGCCTCTGCCCTTCTGCACCGAGACAGGGTCAACAGTCCCGAGCAGGGTTGCATGTCCCTCGGACATAGTGCCTCTTGTACTGCAGGGCTACCTCTTCACACCCTCCCACACAAGCCGAAGTTTAGTGAGTAGTTTCTTTTCCATACTTTTAGCAAATGTAAAATGGAAGTATTCCCGTGGACTACAGACACTTTTAGTACAGCTAAAACACCTCTTTTCTGAAGTGCAGGCATTTTGCACCATCTTCTTAGAGCAGACGGTGTCAAGCTTTCACCATCATCTTTAATTCTTAATCTTAAAAAGTTGTAATATTTTCTCTAGAGCATCTTTTTTTTTTATTGCTTTGTAAGATTCAAAACCCATCCTTACAGAATGGAAATAGTTGATCCTATTGCTTTTACTGAGAATTTCTAAGCATAGATCTACTGAAATTCAGTTCCCGTTCCAAAAGGTATTCAGCTAACATGTTCCCTGTTTAAACCAGACTTCAGCAACATGGGAGCCCAGTTTCCAAACACAGATCAAATACTGAAGACACGGTTTCTTCAGTGCCCACTTTTGCACTAGGGCACTTCAGCTAGCATTGAATGGGTTGGAATATACAGCCTGCAACATGAGCATTTAAACAAGGTAACAGGCATTAGTCTAGCCACACATTGAACATTTTGATGTATTTCTCTTGGCAATTCCAACAGGGAGTTGAATTTAACAGGCACTGCCTCTCAGAGAATATTTATATATTATTATGTCTAAAATTCCAATTAAAACCACATGGATTGGAGGTGTAACAACAGTTCTTTAAGAGACCGAGAGCTACAGCTCTGGGAATAAGTAAGAAAGAAACATTTTCTCAACTGAATAAGCAAACATTATTATTACTAACAGATGCCATTGTCCATTTACAATGACCTGATACTTATGAATGGGAAAGCTGAAGAGTCTGGAATGTGTAATGAGCTCTGGACAAACAAGCTCATTGTTATCTCCAGCCCTAATGAGAAAAGGCCACCTCTCCCAAAAAAGCAACTCCATTTAGCTGTTTGCAGCAACCGAGAAACTCCTGAAATCTTAAAACTGCCACCGCCTCAAGTGCTTCATCTTTTCTTCCCTCTCTGACCTAGAGTTCTTGAAAGGTAACAGCAAAATAAAGTGCACAGCAAAATACTGAGCAGTGCTGAGTGGTTGCAATGTTGGGAGACACCAGATAATCCTTGCAGAAGGTGAATGTCGTACACTTGAAGGAACACATGCAGATGTTCAACACTGCTCGGCACTGATGCTCCAGAGGAGAACTCCACTGCACATCTCCCCCAGTGCCACTCAGGTCAGTGAGAACATTTCTCTGGGATTCATCCTTAGCAACTCCTCGAGTGTTGGGAGGAAGATCACAGGAGAGAGGACAGATCACAGCAACGAAAAGCATTCAGAGCAATACCTGGCTGTCGGACATTTGATAGAGATCTTTGTAGGCCATGTAGACTTGAAAAGAGTTCACACCTGTTCCAAGACAAAATTCAAAGGTGTTGCCATGTAAATGGATTCTTAAACTGTATTTGAACAAAAACTTCACGAAGAATAGGTCACAGAATATTTGTCCGGACTAGGCTTTTAACCAGTGATGGCCAGAAATAAACCACGGCTCCACAGCTGCATTATAGCTACTAGCACTAGAAGCCTGAATCCCCTCTTCTCTGGGGGAATTTGTTAGACTCTGTGGATTGCCTGTGTTCAGCTCTGGAGCAACCCAGCCACCACTGCAAATGAGATTGCTTGTAGACAAATCACAGACAAGCGATAGCAGCTAAAGCAAGCATGTAAAGTTTGTAAAGTTTAAAAAAACTTGTGAAAGGTTCTGTGAATCACTGGTTTTCTTTTTAGCTTTCTTTAGCTAATCAGAAAAAAACACTTCAGCTTGACCTGAAACTGTGCTTTTTAATAGATAAACTTCTAGCTAAGTTTCCCCAAAGTGCTGAGAAGCTGTAGGAACTGTGTGTCTGAATTTGCATATAGACTTGCTTTTTCTTGACCCTACTGCCCAAAGCACCCAGCTTAGCTGATGATAGACACTGGGAAGGAGTGGAAGCAAAGCCTGCAACCAGTTACAAGGGCAGCTCACCATACCTCTCCTTCCACCTTCCAAAGATGGAAGGATTTATGTTGGCAGACATACAAAACCATGAAAGATGACAGCTCCAAATTTTAGAAATCAGTAAGAAATGCTAGTGTTGAGTGTTGGTTGCTAAGAACCAACTGTATTCAAACGCCTACAAGTTTTGCTCTTTATTTAAAAGATTCAATTATTTACACAGCTTCATATTCTAACAGAACTGGAATTCCAAATATCTTCTGTTCATATTTTCTGTACATATGAATTCATATTAGTTTATAAATTTGCCTTACTCTTTAGTCTACTGACAACATCCCCAGTTTGGTATAGGACTGATCTCAGAGTTTTCAAGCTAAAAAGAAAAGTAAATTTTAAGCTCTCTAAACTATTTATGCTGCACTTCAAAATAGCTGTCATGAAAACTGTGCTTCCTGGGGCAAGAGGAAAAAGAAAGAGATCTGTTCATGTTATTCATGTTGGCTACACCGAATGAATAAGGCTCTCTGATGAAGATGTAACTCCTTCATGAGTCTAGAAGGCGCAGATATATCCTCAGGCAGAGGGTATGGCTGTTCACATTCACACAGAGAATTTGTTTATTCACAATTACAAGATTAAAATACCCTAGGATACACGCAGGATAAAACCTTGAAATGATCCCTGGTATTATGTCTTCCTGCTAAAGCCAGGCAGCTCAGGGAGAAACACGAAGCGGGAGCCGGCCCCTCCTTGCTGACTTTCATGCTGAGCAAATCCAGCCTGGACTGTGGAGCCCCTTCAGCCTGTGAGCCTGTCCTTTCTTCCTATATTCGTATTTCTCACGTTCCCAGAAAACACACATGGTCTTTACTAACTGTAATCCCTCAGCCTATTCCTCATTACAGTTTCAATGTACTTAGTATGTCCCTGCTTTAAAACCTTTAAGCTTGACTGGGCCTTCCATGGGGTCAGTGCTTACAGCTTCATGCCTGCAGCACCATCTCCCCTCTGACTGGTCACATCTGCCCAACCTGCCTTGGAGGAAAGCTCTGTTTCTCTTCACAAACCCACACAGTGTCTCAGATGTCAGCTGCACCTGGGAGCCACCTTTCTGCACAGGTGACCACGCACACATGAAGCAATGAGAGATGTGTCAAGGCTGGTCCAAGCCAGGCTGACTGGCCTCAGTGATGGCACAGGACTGAATCCTCTCATACACATTTCTCTGTAAGCAAAGAGCTGGGTTACCTATTGCTCTCCTTTATCCACTGGGATCTAGCCAAAGGTAATTCATTTAATCACAGTTCCGCAGGAGATAAGGCAGCTTTCTCTGGGTACTGTGGTTGGAAGACATACATTGACCCAAGTAATATATATTCTCTTCCTTTTTCTTTTATTGCCTTTGTATCTTCTTAGGCCCTTTTCTGACCTTGATAAAATGACTATGAGTTTTGCTCCCACTCATGTTAATGTTCTCCCTGAAGTCAGTGAGAGTAGAAGGGATGCCGCCATGGGATCCTGAGCCTGTCCCTTACCGACAGCTCCCACAGTGCAGAAGCACAGTGCAGAAGCATTCCCATCTAAGTGCACATCCACGCCCTCGGCTACCACATCAGATACACACAAAGTGGAAGAGCATCTCACAGGCTGCCTTTACAGCTGACAGGAGAGATGGTTTGAACCATCCTGCCTTGCAAAGAGAGTATCTTTACAAGATATCAAGATAAAAGAACACCAATCTACATATACAGGTATCCAAGATGAGACTCTGCCTAACACCTTGGTCTGGTGTCTCGATCTACTAATTGAAAATATGTGGCTTTTCAAAAGACCTGGTCCATGGCCTATCGACCTTAATGCTTATCTGGTTAATGTCCTGCTTGCTCTCGCACCAGGAATACTCAACAGGATCCTCTCCAAATTTCAGACAGTGCTACAGGCTTTTTTGAACAGTGACAAAGTGCAGTAGTTAAAGGAACGAGTGAGGCGTCTGTCAACACATTTCAGGCTGTTGTTCCTTTGCATGTACTGGAGAAGCCCAGTCCCAAATTAGATGCCGAAATGCTACAAGCCTGAGTCTTTATAATCAACATTTGGTTCTACAAAATCTCCAGGCCCTTCCAAAGCCTGTGTCTCCTTAAATTAGCTTTGTATTGATTTAAAACTGATTAATTATTCAATAATATCTCATGACAGGGCACCTCAACAGCAGCTCTGTGAGCTCCACTGTTATTCATGCCGAGATTGTATTAGGCACATGCGTCATTGAAACGTTATTAGCTGAGCCCTGTTACTTGGCTAACTCACCCACCAGACAATCAGCCCAGAACAAATTCAATCCAGATTCCCAGCTGATGAAAACCAGTGTCACTCCATTGACATCAAGTCTATTTGCACCAGCTGGCTCAAATGTTTCCAGTTATCAGCAGATATTATCCATTCATTTGAAAGCCCCTGCCACGCTGAAATATTTCCTATTGTGCTTGTGCTTTCACACTCGCCCCTACCTTGCATCTCCTAACACGACAGTTACTCACATTGACTGCCTGAGACATAGTACAGCATCCATGAGAACAAAGGTGACCTCCTAATGCTATTGCCACCAAAGAGGTCACCAAGGGCCTCGTCACGCATCCCGGTTCAGGAACCGATGAACAGATTCCTGCTTCCTCTGAAGAGTGAAAGGCAGGTCAGATTTATATTGAAAACTCACATTTCAATAGTTGGAGAAAACTATTAACCTAACTGTCTGCACCAGGCTTTTAATGTAAGCCCCCAGGCACATTTGGGAGTGCTGAGCCATCTGTGATCCAGGACCTCTGGAAAATAGTATCTAACCTTTGAAACAAGGCACTTGTCTGAGAGTACAGTCAGCTAATGCACAGCAGCGTATCCATGTTAACACTGATAGCAGGGAAACAGCACAGATTTGCCACCATCAGTGTTGACAGATGTCATCACCTTGTAAAAATCACCTATATTATAAAGAACTACGTAAGACCAGCTGCAGTTTCTCTAAATTATGTGTAATCTTGCTGATTGAAGGATTTTGTTGCCTAAAATCTTGTTATACAGCACATGTACTGCTAGCATGCTGCAATATAGGATAAATTCCCCTAAGTGACTGCACCTCCACAGTATCTCAGCAAACAACTGCTCACTCAAGAATAGGAATTTGCTTTGGTTTTCTACTTCGATAGTACATTCCTAGAAAAAGAGAATTTTTCAAATCTAAGTAATCACTAGCACTGCACCTTACAAAAGATGCTGCATACACATATTACTTAGACTTCCCAACACAAGGGTCATTCTGATTTACCCATAGTAGCTAAATATCATTTCAGAAAATATTTCTTAATTAATATCCATGCATTTTCAAGGGAAGTATCAAGTAAAAAATATTTGAAAAAATATGTTTCTGGACTGAAAATCCATGCTGTTAGGCAGAATTTTAAGGAACTAGATCAAAATAATTATTTTCTGAAGGCTAGATTAAATTGCTCACACATACGTATCTGGTGCCACCAAGTTGCCCTCCATATATGAGACTGTCATACTGAGCTGGCATGTATGGAAAACGATTTATGAGAGGTTTTATCTGTACTATTCTGGAGTGGTAGCTGGAGTCCAGATAGGGCAACCTACAGCATCTCACATGATAGTAGACCTCTTAATTGAACTGAATCAAGCCCGTACATGTCTTAAATAGATTCCTAAATAAGTGACCTGGTTTTTGTAAGTCCTGAAACAAAGCGTCTTCTAGTAACTTTAAGGAAAGCCACTGGAGACGAAGCGCTTGAGAAAATCAGGACATTTTTTCAATATTAGGTACCTAAAAAGCTTCTCTTTTTTCTAATAACTTGAACCTATTTTAAAAATACAGGCATGTTTTATAGAAAAATCCAGTCTCACCAAGTAAATTATCCTAAGCCATTGCTGAGAAATGAGATCTAGCCTGTGATGACAGTTTCTCAGACACATGTGCCTTTCATATTTGGGCTTAAATTTGAGGCAGCTAAATGG